ATCTGGAAAAAGGGGGGTCGTCTTATAATCAGGGTCGTCTTATATTCGGGCCAATACGACAAATATGGAAGTACGGAAAGAGGAGACGCAGGGTCGGCGCCAGAGCGCACAAAGTGCACAAAGGCTGCTTTGAAAAAAAAAATGTTTCTGGAAGTAATTTTCAGATGCAACGGGGGAAAAACGGGATAACACAAACATGAAACTTGTAAATAAAATAATCTGATATATAGCCTATGTACAATTTAATAACATATAGCCTAGTTTGATATATGAATTGGGTGTTCGTCAAAGATTGCATGCGGTCGGAGATTCCCGTGTTTACAGCTCCGTAAAATAACCTACTGGAAGCTCTGTAGTTTTGCTGTATAGGCCTATAGATAAATATTAAAATTACAAACACACAATAACATTTTAAGTTACTTCCATTTCTGAAAAAAAGAATGTAGGCCTAGTAATTGGTGTTATAAATACACACGCCTGATTTTTGTTTTAATTATCCATTGTACATAAAAAAAACAAAACATTTGCAATCCAGACTGAAAAAAGCCAGAAGTGAATGTAAACCAGATTTGGCCCAGACTCTGTTGCTATCTGTGAAGCCAAGCATAAGAATAGCCTACTAATTTAAATTTGTTAACCCACAGTAACAAATTTTAACAGATTAATCGCATATTTTCGTTTGCTGCATGCTTTTAAAAACACAATAACATTTTTTTTTTAATTTTTTTTTTAGGAAAATAAAAAAAAGATACGTCTCATATAAGTTGCATTTTCAGAAATAATAACGGCAGGCCTAATAATGTTATAATGTACCAACATTATGAACACTATAGGATATTTTAGTTCCCCTCACTTTACAACAAATCCTTTAAATTTAACCGTATCAGAACAGAATATGAATTTTAAAAATATATAATTCTAATGGATAAATATAATTGCAGTATATAATAATATATGCTTAGCAATAAACATGCCAAAACAAATTAATTTATAAAGAAACGTAAGGTAAAGTTGGGCTTACCTCTCTCATTAGGCACAAATCCAAATGTGTCCATATTCGTGATGTAGCTGAAGCTAAACTATTAGCCTTATTAGGTAAAATAGGCTTTGTAGTTCACGCACGTTCTAGTATCGACGGAAAAATACCATAATGAGCAAAAATATGCCACAGTGGACCGGGTCTCACGCCGAACGGCACGGTGAACGGCTGCGCTGTTTCCAATCAATGCAGTAGCTTAGTGTGCGCGTGAGGCGCACTGAACATTACAAACAGCTGAAACATTAAATAGACTACTCCGTAATTTTTGGTCATACAGTAAAGGCATAATTCTAAACTGCAAAGTGTTAGCAGTTTGAAAATTCAAGAATAATAGCAAAGTTAATAAGAGAACGAACCGAAATGAAAACATTTCGCTTTTAATCTGTGTATTTAACAGCCTGGGAGACATTCCCAGGGCAGTACCTTGCCTCACCGACTAAAATCAGGGCGCCCACTACGGAGACGGCACCAGAGGTGAGGGGGCAGTGACCGAGGTGGCCGGGCCAGGCCCCTCAGGCCCCCCCGTGGCGCCGACGCTGACTGACTGTCACCATGTAAATGTTTTTAAGCTTGAAAAAACGTCTGGGCGTGTTTGTTACAGGGCAGAATTAGACTGCAAAGTCGAAGAGGTGCGACATGAAATGGAATCTCACTTGGATTCCCAAAGACGACACATGGTGCAGAAGGAGAGTCTGCTGAGGTGTGAAGTGGACGAACTGAAGGTACCATACTTATTACATCAGCAGGCTTTTGTGTGTGTAGCGAGTTACTGACAGGTGTGTGTGTGTGTTTGTGCAAAGGGCCAGCTGTCCAGAGTCATGTCAGATGTCCGTGTTCTGCTGGCTGCAGAGAGAGCGCGCAGACGAGCTGGAGAGGGCGGAGCTGGAGAAGGCAGAGCTTCTTGAACTTTAAAAAAAGGAGGGGCTCAGACCGGCCACGCCCTCTGGAGCAGCACCGCCCCCTGCTGAGGTGCAGAGAAAGCTGAGCCCAAGAAGCCTAGCTTTGGACTGCATCAAAAGAAAGAATAGAGAGGCGACAGTCATCTGAGGACACTGCTTTTCACGGCAGAACAGTAAGGAAGAGGGAATGTCACATCATATGATGCTAATAGAAAACCACTGACTGGAACTCATCATCTGAATGAAGCCCCATTATTGCAGTTCCTCGGGGTGAACCGAATGATTGATATGAGATTGGCTATGTTTGATGATTTATCCAAATTGCTTAGTAAAAATACTTTTTTGACCAATTTTGTATGTTTTTAGACTTTCAGAGGCTTGTTTTCCTATTTAAAAGTACAAGAGATGCATTCTGTTAAATCGTTGATATTAAAACAGTTTTGACAAGGTAGACTGTGGATTTCTATATAAAAATACACTCAAAAACATACAAGAATTTAATCATATTTAATGGTTTTAAAAAGGAGAGAAACACAAAACATGACAATGATATACATAATATCAGCCAATGGTTGCAACAGATACAGCAGATCCACATCCTGATTGGTCCTTTAGAGCCTGACGGCTGAGTCTGCTTTGCTCAAGGCAGCGTTTAGCGAGTGAATGAGCGGATGTGTCTGCCCCGTCCGCCTCCGCCGCTGTTGAACTTCCCTTGACCACGACCACCGCCACTTACACCACCTACTCCTACACTAACACCACCACTCAGCCAGGACAGGCCCGTCCCTCTGCCTCTGGTGGCTCTGTCCCGAGGAGCCAATCGGTAAGCACCTGAAGAGTTGGGACAGAGCGGTCAGAAACTGTTTGACATGTAGGTGTAGGGTGAGCTACAGAGCTTGTAAAAACATTTTATTCATTAGAGAAGTATTTTTTCACCTTTAAAGGGGTCATATGACGTTGCTAAAAAGAACATTATTTGGTGTATTTGGTGAGAAAGAAGTCATCTCTGAGGGACACACCCAGCAGGTGGCAGTATCACCTAATGTTTTACATTATATAAATAATTATCGAATGAGTTTAAAATTAGCGATTGACCAATATGATTTTTTAAACAGGTAATGCTGAAAGAGAAATAATTGTGTTATTATTATTACTGTTAAATTTAAAAATTATAATATATATAAAACAAACTTTTATATTTTATTTTACTTTTATACTTTTTTTTTTACATTATATAAGGGTAAGATAGAGGTTTAAGATAGAGGTTGAACAATAAGTTTAATTTAATAGCCATTGCCTAAAGAGAATATAATTGAATTGATTATTATTATTATGTTTAAATTTGATATTTTAGTCGATAAAATAGTCGACTATTTTATTTATTTATTTACAGTATATATATAATATACATATATACACATGTGACCCTGGACCACACAACCAGTCATAAGGGTCAATTTTTTTAAATCATCAGCTGAAAGCTGAATAAATAAGCTTTTCATTGATGTATGGTTTGGCCGAGATAAAACTCTAAATCTTGAAAAAAATCGAAATATTGAGAAAATTGCCTTTAGAGTTGTCCAAATAAAGTTCTTCGCAATGCATATTACTAATCAAAAATTAAGTTTTGATATATTTATGGTAGGAAATTAACAAAATATCTTCATGGAACATGATCTTTACTTAATATCCTAATGATTTTTGGCATAAAAGAAAAAGTGATAATTTTGACCCATTCAATGTATTGTTGGCTATTGCTACAAATTTACTTGTGCTACTTATGACTGGTTTTGTGGTCCAGGGTCACACACACATATAATATTTTCTACACACCAAGCCTGCATTTATTTGATCCAAAATACAGCAAAAGTAGTAATATTGTGAAATATTTTTACTATTTAATATAACTGCTTTCTATTTGAATATATTTCAACATTTAATTTATTCCTGTGATCAAGGCTAAATTTTCAGCATCATTACTCCAGTCTTCAGTGTCACATGATCCTTTAGAAATCATTCTAATATGGCTTCAACTCTAATCAAACACACCTGAACGAGCTAATCAAGGTCTGAACGGTTACTAGGAAGCTACAGGCAGGTGAGTTTTAATTGGAGTTGGAGCTGAACTCTGCAGGGCTGCGGCTCTCCAGGACCGGAGTTTGCCACCCCTGCACTATACCATTCAAAAGCTTGGAGTCGGTATAATTTTTTTTTTTTTTTGGGGGGGGAAAGAAATTATAGAAATTAATACTTTTATTTAGCAATGATGCTTTAAATTTATCAAAAATTATGATAAAGACATTTATAATGTTACAAAAAATTTCTTTTTCAGATAATGCTGTTCTGCTGAACTTTCTATTCATCAAATAAAGTTCTTCGCAATGCATATTACTAATCAAAAATTAAGTTTTGATATATTTATGGTAGGAAATTAACAAAATATCTTCATGGAACATGATCTTTGCTTAATATCCTAATGATTTTTGGCATAAAAGAAAAAGTGATAATTTTGACCCATTCAATGTATTGTTGGCTATTGCTACAAATTTACTTGTGCTACTTATGACTGGTTTTGTGGTCCAGGGTCACACACACATATAATATTTTCTACACACCAAGCCTGCATTTATTTGATCCAAAATACAGCAAAAGTAGTAATATTGTGAAATATTTTTACTATTTAATATAACTGCTTTCTATTTGAATATATTTCAACATTTAATTTATTCCTGTGATCAAGGCTAAATTTTCAGCATCATTACTCCTATCAAAAATTATGATAAAGACATTTATAATGTTACAAAAAATTTCTTTTTCAGATAATGCTGTTCTGCTGAACTTTCTATTCATCAAAGAAACCTGAAAAAATTCTACTCTAGCAGCAAATCAGAATATTATAATTATTTCTGAAGGATCATGTGACTGGAGTAATGATGCTAGAAACTCAGCTTTGAAATCACAGAAATAAATAAAATTTTAAAATATATTCAAACAGAAAACATTATTATTTTGAATAGTAAAAATATTTCAAAATTTTACTGTTTTTGCTGTACTTTGAAATTTTTTGGGGATTTTAAATGCAGGCTTTTTTTTTTTTCCAAGGCCTACCTGTAGGTGGCTGTCTGGATGGTAACGGTCGAGTGAAGTTGCTTTGCCCTCCACGAGGTTCACTGTAAGTCCCTCTGTGAGTGTCAGCGGACACTGGAGTGCTCCAAGTGGATCCACGACCACCCTCACGACGAGGGTAGTTACCTAAAACAAACAAATTATTTTGAATAATGTGTCATGGATTTTATCAGTCACATATAAAAGGAGTACAGAGTATATATATGTGCTGAATCAAACATATATGTGTACCAGCAAGCAGAACACTCTTGGGGGCTGGTGGAGTGAAAAAGCGGGCGTGGTTCTGGAAGCCCCTCCCTCTGGTTCCTCCAGTAAACAAGCCTCTAGTTGGTGGCTTGGCTCCTCCTCCTTTTGGTGGGCGTTTGGGCAGGGCCAGGCCAGTGGGTTGACCCACATCCTTGAACTCTGCAGCAAGGAAATCATCTACATGCATGGAAGGAGGTCGACTGGTGTTCTGCTTGCGCTGGCGGAAAATGTCATGTGGTCGAGAGAGCTGGCCAAACGCACCACGACCCCGACCCCGAGGGGCCGCCATGAAATGAGCTCGTTTCGCAGGCTCCACATAATCTGAATTCCCACTGCAAACGAAGAACATGATTTGTAGCTATATAGAGTTTATACATTCAAGGTAAAGTAGTAACCTCAGACTAGAATGGTAAGCAGACAACACATTGTGTACCTGGATGTGATGAAGGTCTCATGTTTGTGTTTTCCCAGTCGGAAGCCTTTGGGTGGTTTGCTGTGTCCTGGGGAAGCGGGTTCGCTGAGGAACGAACGTTCTAACTCTGCCTTTAGGTTTAAGTCTGGACAACACTGCTGGGCCAGTGCAACTAGGTCAACTTTCACCTGGCAACACATACATTAACAATGCTCACATGAAAAACTACACATAACATGAAGAGCAATTTATACTTTTATAATTTATTAATAATCCAAACTACAAATTTATTGTCTCCATAATAAATCTGCACTCTAAAATTTGTGTAAGCAAAGAAAAGAAAATGCTGTTACCTTAAAACATGCCATAAACTGTTTACATTGCTCTCCAATTGCTCAATTATATATTTCAATCACAAATATATTTATCGCTCCCGCAAACACACGTCTCACCATGTCAACTTCTGTCTCCATCTCATCTGACTGGAATGGAGAGAACCACAGGGCCTTCAACTGCTCATCCAGGACATCCGAGAGAACAAAAACCGTCCTGAATGTAGATAACCAGTTAGTGAGGGGAAAAAAGAGAAAGTAACATTGAGGCATTCAAGTATTTTCATTTAATAAGGATGTGCAAAACTACATATTTAGAAAATTGACTAATCCAATTAGACACATTTGGTTGGGGCATTTAATTAAATAAGAAGCATTTTTGCATTCAAACAAACTAGATCACGCACGAGAGAAATAGAATAGAAAGCAGCTTTCTCAAGTTGCATTTAAAATTAGAATTTTTTATTGACTTATTTTGGCTTTTCTTTTGCCTTTATTGGGACAGGACAGTACAGAGAATTGACAGGAAGCAAAATGGCACAGGATCGAGAAAGGGTTCACAAGCCCAGACTTTAACTTGGGATGCCCCATATGTAACCATGCCTCATGTTGAAGTTCTGCTTGGCACCAACAACTATTCTAAACTTAACAGGAAGTCTTTTAAATCGCAACACCTAGTTGACTCACTTAATTCACACACCAGTGTTATTTTAGTGTCACTGAGATACTATTATATATTATATTTTAGTACATCAAATTTAACTAAATGAAAATGAGAAAGCTGCTTTGGCACCTAGCTGAAATAAGGTAAATTTTTTAATATATAATATTTTATTTCAATTAAAGTTTATTTCAAGTAAGATTTCAAAGTTGTTTTTTATGGATTTCGTTAACTATAAAAACCCAGTCACATACACAATTAATCTCTCTGTCTGTACTACCTGTGGTTGAACTGTGTCTGAAGGGGTTCTGGTGCAGGTAGAGTGGGCTCAGCTTCAGGCTCTGCATTAGTTGGGGCATCTCCAGAACTTTCAATAATCTGCCGCAGTCCAGCCACATTCTCGAGCAGAGTCTCCAAAGACTCATCCTCCTTACAGAGCTTCTGCACACATGGGAAAACGAGAGAGTAGGACAGGATTAATATGTGTGTCTCTCTTCATTCAGGCTATAGGGCACAGCTTAATTATGATATATAACCTAAGCTGCCACATGTACCATGATGTGTTTCTCCAGTTCTGATAAAGGATGT